GCATTCATTATATTCTCATATCGCATTCCCCTTTTGCTGAAAAATTGTGTGATGAAAATAATACCATACCTGAAATAAATCAATTTCACTTTAAACGCTTTTGTGGAAAAATTGAACTCTTTTTCAGGGTGAATTATAAAATTTTATTTTCTTCCTTCGGCTTTTTCGAGCTTCAGGGGATGTCGATTGCTACTATCTGCGTCGAGCACTCACTCTGTACCTCTTTGGTACACATATTAACCTTTTTACACTTGTCACATGCGCAGGCTAGCCAGTGTGAGGTCAGCGGACTCTCAAGACCTTCCACGATAACACACACACATGAAAGACAATGGACAAACAACCATGCCCATGGCGGAGCTCGAGCCGCGACCCTTTAGATCGAGGCGCCCAGTCGGCACAAGCTCTTGCCACCTCGGCCATTGAGGGTTACAGGCCTCGATCGACAGAGCTAATTATGTATTTATATATATATATATATATATATATATATATATATATATATATATATTATAATGTACATTATATATATAATGTATAATATAATATAAAATTTATGCTCTTGGTGATGTATTAAGTGTTCAAATACCTTCAAAAGCTTATAAGTACATATAAGATAACTACAAAGTAACGAATACATTTAAAGACTATGTACTTGATATATCTTCCCGATCTTTCTCCTAGAAAATACTTTCTATCTGATGCTATTATACCTAAATATGGTTTATAGAAACGACATTAGAGCCAAACGTATGCTTTCTCAAAGTTCAATAACAATTGTTACAAAGTTGTCTCGAAATGGAATTTCAACTTCATGCCTCATGGACATGCTTATAACATGAATAAAGATCGTTAAAATTCTCATTTTGGAAATAGGAAACTCAGGTTCGTAAACCAACTACTTAAATTGATAGGAAGATAGGTACTTATTAATAGTAATTTTAATATGATGACATGACGATTGCAGTTGTGGTTTTACAAATACTCGTTGAAATATTTATTCTTGAAAGAAAAAATATCCGTCGGTATGACTCCGGAGCTTCTCTTGAAGATATGAAAAACAAGTTCACCGGTTGACTCGCTTGGGTCGTAGT